AGCATAAGAAGCTAGCATCGCAGATTGGCCTATAGAGAAAAATGATCACAACATTGAAGGCTCGAATGAGTAGAGGTGTCAATCCGGGTGGTCCGGGCCGGGTCGGCCCGCCAACATATGAGCCCGGTAATGGCCCGCGTGAAAAAAACCCACCCGCTACGGGTTTCAGGTCGGCCCACAAATTTTGGACTACAACGCAGGCCCGCCCGCTGATCCATTCAGGTCGAGTCCATGCGGGTCATGGGTCGCGTAGGTCGCGGTTTGTTCCGATTTGGCCCGTATTATTGTATAAATAAAATTATAAAAATATAGAATTTTTCATATTTATAGCAAAAAATATTTTTTTTGTAAAATGTAAACTAAGAATTGAACAAAATGATAAATTCATATTTATACCAAAAAATGTTTACATAGAATTCAAATTTAATATCACATGAATTATTTATAACTTTGCAAAGTTAAATTTATTTCAAACAAATAACACANTTTACATAGAATTCAAATTTAATATCACATGAATTATTTATAACTTTGCAAAGTTAAATTTATTTCAAACAAATAACAACTAAATGCATTTCTAATTACTATTATCAAATATTTATAGTATAAGTACATCCAAACTAGGTTGACACCTACTTTTATTATAATTTATAGTTTAAGTACATCCCAACTAGGTTGACTCTTTCCTCTCTTTTTTTTTCAAATTTTTAAATTTTTTTTTCACGGGCCAGCGGATTAACCGCGGCACGTAAAGGTGCAACATGCGAAGCTCGCGGGTCACACCTCCTTGACCCGTGAACCACCCGCTCGAGTAATGGGTCAGCCCGCAGTCCCGGGTCGATCCGGGCTGATTTTTAAGGGTTTGGTCAGCCCGTCCATCTTGACACCTCTATGTATATACATGCTTATGAGAACCAAATAACATAGGGATATACATATGTAATTTCTTCACTGAAGATTGTTATGGTTATATCGTGTTGATGCCATGGCCTGATAAGGGGATAATGGGACCTTTATTTTCTTTTTCTGGTCAAATAAAAAAAATTCCTTGCTTACATAATTTAGATGTCTCGTATTTGCAATAGCGATTTGATAACTAAACAATACAATTGTTGCTCAACCAGACCAAGTTTACTTGAGCTTGTTGATGTGCAGATGTCCTATATCTTTTTTTTTCTTTTGCCTTTTGTGGTGGTTTCATTACCACTCTTTGTTGGGAAGATGTAGGAAATTATTCAGTGCAGGCTGCCAAGGAAAATTCGGAGAGAATACTAAGGAAAGCAAGGAGAAAGAGAAAATACTGCAATACCAGTGACCATATGGCCAAGTCGCCTCACCTCCCTCCACCTTACTAACATCTCCCAAATGCGTTGGCCCATATTGGGCGTTGGATTCCACTGATACTCTTCATATTGCCTCACGATCTCATATTGACGAGGCATCAATGAACTCGTCTTCCTACAAGGTTTCTTAATCCGTACAATTTGTGTCATACCAATTATTCGAAGTTCAATTAATGTGTATCTAATAAGTTTTAGTTAATTTTCGAGGATTTAAATAAACATTGAATTTGGTCATATTTTTAAAATACTTGGTACGATAATGAT